CGAGCCTAAAAACTTTCAGCACCCAGAAAAGGGTGTTTTTGAAAGCTATGAGTCAGTCAAAAACAGGAGGTGGTAACTGCAATGTGTTTTACAGACTTGACTACAGTGTGCGGTACTTGAGGGAGAGGATAACATGGCAGTGGTTTGGAGGCACTACGTGGCCATCCATTAGTGAACCCAACGTATCGAATCAGAGTATGTCTCGCATCTTATGTATTTATGCCATTTGGAGTGGGAGTATCTACACAGCCACTTTAAGGTGTAACGCTTTTGTTGGACCTCTAATTGCTTTGTGGGCCACTTGCAGAAATGATGTGAGCATTTGTTTCCCTTTAGCAAAATACTTCTCCAGAAAGCAAGGATATTCAGCCTTAGGAAAATATTTAATCTCAACTCTAAAATGCCCTTAAAAGTCGCTCCCACCATGTGCAGCCTGTCTCTGGACAACTACAGTGTTTGAGATTAGAACTCTCTTTGCAACTATTTTATTCTGTGTAATCTTTGAAAATCAATTGTGGAGTTTTGTTTTGACTCAGCAAGGAGCCTGAGCCGCTGTGTGTTTTTTTAAATAGCAAAAGAAAACAGCGCTCACCAGAATTTCCAGTAAAACCCATTAGATTTAAGCAATTCATTCTCCAAGTATGTGTGGGATGCTGGGAGCTCCCTGGTCTGCTCGGGCAAAATAGCCCAGATGGACTTCATCTGTAATAATTTAGCTCCCAGTGGCTGGAGCTCTTTGCTCTAAATGCTAATAGAGTGAGTAATCAGAAACCTACATCCAGTAAATTATTTATCTTATCTCTGGAACTCAGCAAAGCATCTCAGCCAGCGACTTCTGTGGAAAAAATGTTGGTCAAGAACCCCCGCTGGAATCTCCACTTTTACTAGAAAAGGGAAAAGTTCAGACACCAGTTTGCCTGCATGCATCAGGAAGCAATGAAGTAATGACAATAATAGCCAAGACCAATCCAAACCAACTTCATCGGAACAGTAAAATGGGTCTGGCTTGTGTTGCTGATGCCAACCTTGACAGGCACTGTTACCAAACAGTCCTCTAATACTAAAAGTCAAGCAGCCTTGTAGATTTTTTCCCTTGGATTTGGACCAATAAAAGACGCATCGTGTTCCCATAGAACAGATCAGAAATGGCCTCAACTGCTCACGCTACATTCCTCCCTTCGCCAATGCAAACAGCAAATTCGTCTTTTGACTTGACTGCCATCATCTACCGATGGCAATTATACCGCCTCCTTTAGCACGGTAAGACGCTTGTAATCATGCATGTATTTATCCCCACAAGGCAGGGTGCCATTATCCCCATTTTACAGATGGGAAACAGCAAGGCTAAGGGATTTGCCCAAGGTCAAACAAGAAGCCTGAAGCAAAGCAGGGGCTTGAACCTAGGTCACCTCTTTGATTTAGTCTCATTTCCTCATCCCTTTCTCTCTGGTCATAGAGGCTGTATCCCAGCTACCCTTCACACCAAACATACTGCCCTACTGTGCCAAGGCACAGTGAAACAACCTTCAAAGCAACCGGCCTTTGCTTTTCTCAGAAAACCCCTGGGAGCACTCATCTCTCTTCAGCCTTGCAGTATTTCTGATCCAATTCAGACTGACTTCTGCACCAAGAAACAATTGAAAATAACCTTCTCTACATAGCTGTGGACCTGTTCCACCCTGTTGACCCAGGCTGAGTCAGTCTCCTTATACCCTTCGACCTCAGTGCACTGCGTGACACTTCCTTCTTGGAAAGCTTCGAACAAAACACTGGCATTGCTGGCTTTCTCCTCACCTGGCTGGCATTGCTGCTCCCTCTGTGCCTGCTTAGTCCCGGGTCCTCCAGCTAGACTGCATGGGGAACCTCAAAGCTCTCTTCTCACCCACCTCCTTATTCCAGTCTACCATCTGCCATTGTTTCAGTCTAACCCTGCCTAGATCTATAGGGCTATGACACCTAACTCAACACCTTTCAATTTTACACCGACTCCTCTGTCAACTTCCTCTCTCCATCTGAACTTCCTCCGACAGAAATTCAGAAACTTCTGCACCAAGGTTCTCCAGAGCAAATGCAGCATAAACTCATTGATCTTCTGTAGTATTTTCTACTGCCAAAGACAGCGGCCAAGTTATGGAGGAAGGGGAACCATGCCACTTTCTAATTTTTGGAATATTTTGTGGAAAGCCTCAGGCATTATGTTGCATCATCAGCAGGGAGGAGGAACAAGTCAAACAACTGCAGAGACACAAGTGACTGATGCCTCCTGAATCTGAGGGGGCCCCTGCAGAAGCCACTGACAGTGGCAGCCCTGTCAGGGCGGGCACCAGCTGTACCGACAGTCAGTGTTGGCCATTGGGGGGGCACCAGCCCTGCTGGGGGGGCACGTGCACCCCCTACCAGTCACCTATGCACCTATCCCACTAAGGATATCCTGCACAGAGAATGCCTCTCTCTTACTCCTTTGTCCTGACCGAATCCCCCACACTGGTATTCAGGGAGGAAAGGGAGGAGAGCTGCTATACCAGCCTATCCCACCTGAAATTCTTGCTAAGAAAGAGTAATTCCCAGTATTTCCCAAAAAGCGGCTTCCTAGCAGGGTAGTTACACCAGAGAGATTCAAAACAACCAATATTGGGTGTCAAAATCTAGATCCTAATACCAGTACTATGAAATAGTCATATAAGTTTAAGAGGATCCAAGACCTGAAAGTATCAACAAGGACTAAATGAAAACTGCCTTCTCCATTGCCTTGCTTGCAGTCAGGTCTACAAGATGCAGTGAGCCCTAACGCGCGTTGCAGCAAATTCTCATTTGATAGTGTTTTTACCCAGCAAAAAAACAAACACAAGGCATGAAGGAATTTTTAACATGCAATTTATGCTGAGCATTTGTGTTTCATTCACCTTTGCACTGTTTTCACATGATGGAGACCAGTCAATCTCACTTGTGTTTATAGCAAGTTTCACTTTCGGGTTTCTGCAGTGTTTGCTTTGCAAGCACTGCTGGGAAGTGTTTGCTTGTTTTAAAAACAGTTGTTCCTGTTGGGACTTGTTTAAAGTCAAAATATTGCGGAAATGTTTCAGCTGGCCTTCGCTTTTGCAGCAGCTCCTTCATGCAAAATACGCGCTTGGAGGCCCAATCTGAGATGCCATTCGCCCATTAAAGGCTGCATTGAGCCTTCTCTACCTGGATACATACCAAAGGGTGCGTATCACAACCCTCGACCCTGAACTTAGACCGGGACAATAAACACGCCATTGCTTCTTAGGAGCGATTTGAAAAAAGACGCGCCTGGCAGGCTGCAACAAGAGGTGGGGATGTCAGGTGCTGCCTCGGAGAAGTCAACGAAGCGGGCTCTACGCCGTTTACCACATCTTATTTATGCGCACGCGTATATGGTGACAGAGGGTGGCCATCATAGAGGACGGTCCGGTTTTCTGCTACTCTGTCCTCTGTTGATACCAAACCCGACGCCTTTATTTCTCTTCAAGAGAAAAACAGAGGACACAAAGGCGTCCGGTTTCGTATAAGAGGACAGCTGGACTGTCCTGCATGATGGCCACCCTAGTGGTCAGGCCACAGACCAAGCGGTGAAGGGGAATTGAAGGATCTCCTTGGCCAGAAGCTCTCCCGCAGGGGAGGCCTGAGCATCGTTGCTTCGGGAGCCCACGCCCAACTCTATGCAAGGCTGGGAGGAGCTGACCCTGAAATCCTTGCCGAGCTCCACCACCCTGCTGATGCCAGGGGGGCCACCGGCGCCAGAGCCTCCCATGGCTGTGCCACCCATAGGTATGCTGTGCACCTGGGATTGTGTCTGGAGGGCCCAAGGGAGGCACCGTGCAGAGACAGAGGGGACAGCGCCCCTGCCCCCAGGACCCCCCACCCCAGCCCCTCAGGATTAAGGGGGGGCAGTGGGGGTTTGCCCTTAAAATCAAATGAGTTTGCCCCT